GTGCTGCTACAGAGAAGGATCTTGCGCCATATGTTTTTAAGTTATAGGATGGAGAAACCAGAAGGTGCTTGGATGATGAGTGTAGTTGGCGCAATGGGGTGTAAGATGTAAGCAAATCACAAATGTACGACAGTGCCAAGTTGTAAGTGCCTTGTTGGTTATAAGTAAAATCTTAAAAATAATACGTTGATTAACGGGAAGCCAGTGAAGATTAAAAAACACAGACGTAATGTGATCATGCTTTTTTGTAAGTGTGACGAGGTGCGCAATATAATAATATTGCACAATGACGGAGTGTCACGTCTGCTCTCAGTTGTACTGCCTGGATGAGTTTCTCCCTTGACTTTGGACTTTTCATGAATTTAACTTTGCTACAGAAAATGCATAGAAGATCATATACTCTCCCTTCCGATGACTGTCTTCTGGACTGCCTTTTTGTGGGATCGGATTCTTCCTCAACTGACTCTTCTCTTTTTTGCTTAATTCAATTTAATTTAATCGCTTCGCCAACCAGCAGGGACACTGCAACAGCCTGCGCCAATTATTGCAGATCCAATAAACCCACCCATCCCACGCCAGGGGAGGACCTCCATCACACAGTAATTTTGTGTGTGGGAAATTAACGTCTCCTACCCCAGCCCTGCAGGAGACGGGACCTCCATTTATTCATCCCTCTCCGAGAAGACTAGAATATCTAACCATTTCTTGATGTTATAGAGAGGCAGCAAATTCTTCTCAATTATTTTTAAGACCCCGAGTGATGGTCCGGCCGGGGCTGGAACCCTCGACCTCCCGCACAACAGTCCAGCGCTCTATCCATTGAACTAACCGGGAGGTGCTTAACAGATTCTAATCTCTTTTAACAGTAAACAGGCTTCTACATTTTTGGTGGTATGCGATGTTTGGTATGTGATTTTTGTCGACTGTTTTGGTGACATCCAATACTGCCTGATGACTTCCAACTTTGGCTGGTTCCGGCAAAGTGATCCAAGAGCTGATGTCATTTGGACACAAGGTGCTCTTCCTCTTTATCACCTACAGCATTGTGTATTATGCAGTGGCGCTCGACCTTTTCCATTCAAATGCAAGCTTAGTAAATGCAGAATTTAATGAAACTCTTATTTGCTTGGAAACAGTGGCGTTAATGATATCAACGATTTCATATACGTTATAGATGCACAAGTGACTTAGCACTCAGTAATAGATGTTTTCAAACTTTAAAGTGTTTTCAAACTTTAGATCGACCTGAAAGGCTGATTTCTTAAACAAGGTTAAAAAGATTTGATGCGACCTGATTTGTTTTCTTATAATACAAAATGCAATTAAGTTCTAAGTAGATAGAAGGTAAATTATTGCAAAGAAAACTGATTTTGCTTGAATGAGCAAATCTTATAAAATACTAGAGATATTTATAGCTATTGATTGCCAAGAAAGAAATGGACTGTTTTTCTTTGTTTGTTTTTACTCTAGGTTATGTTTTACTGAACATCTCACTTTGTGCCTCAGCTCTGTGTTTTTTTTTTAATCCTATTTTTCAATCCAAACAAAGTTGGTAAAAGTAATTCATTCAAAATTAAGAGTACACGCAACTAAAATGTTTATGAAATTCATAATTTGTACAACAATTAAGTGACTGAAAGATATCTGGTAGTTTAAACGCTTGCCTTAACGAAGTTGGCCTTTTCAAAATGGTGGATAAATAGCACAACAGAGTTCTCAGACATGGCCAAAATTAACATACCGCTGACCAAAATATGTTGCTCATGAATAAAACAAAATGTGTGCAAACCCATTATGTAGACTCTAAAAATATTGATTCGCGCTTTCGTTTTGAAGCGTTACTGTGGCTTTGAAGGTTTCTGATGTATGGTTGCCGTTTATTTTTGTACTGGTTGCCAGAGGAAGCAAGTCAAACTAAAAAACAAATACAGATTTTTTTAAATATTGAATAAGAAAAGAAAAAATGGACAGGAGTAACAGACAAACTCCACAACTTGTACCGGTTAGACCTGATGCTTGTTAAATGGAAGGAATGAACTGAACTGAACTGCATTTGATATGGCACCATTGTAAGCAGTTGTCACTTTCAATGGCACAGTGGTTCGAAGCGACTGTTCTCGAGTGTTCAAGTCTGGATGTCAAAACACAGTGAAAGCGTACAAATTTTTTGCAGAACCTGGCTATCTACACGAAATAAAAGGTATTTACTTCAGACAGAAATATAGTATGAAAGCTTTATATTTTCTAGTTTTAAGTTACAAAGTGACCGTAACTCTTTTTGAGGGAACAATTTGTTAAATTCTTAACTGCTCATGATGCGGGATTCTAAGCGTATATTTTCTTTCAGTTAGTTACACGGCTGACTATGTTGCTATAACAGCCAAATTGATCAATGAAAAAAACCGAGTCCCCGCATAATATCCCAGCAATATCGAGTTGAAAGATAAATCATTGAGTGGGAAATGCAGTTGTGTTGCTGGAATAGATGGATATTGCCACCACATCATTGCTTTGTTTTTCTACCTGGCACACAGTAAACAACTTGGTCTTAAATCTGTGCCTGATGACTTGACTTGTACTAGTATGAAGCAACGATGGAGCGTTCCAAGAGGGAAAAAGATCGAACAAAAGCAAATTCAAGAGATCCTAGTCAAGAAACCTCAAATGGGTGCAAATTATTCAAAAGTTATCAAATCAACTCTATATTCACCATCTAAGTACTATGGAATGCTTAATTCAACTTCCTTTGAGGAACTATCTCCTGTGCCTATTATAGCTAGTATTCATCCCCATCAAGATACTCTCACTAACTTAGAAACTGTGGCTAAAACATTTGGTAGTGCATTAAAAGGAAGTGTTTTCTTCCTACCAGCAAAAGCTTTCGCAAGATTACATTATTAATTATTTCACTTTAGCAGGATTCCCACTTCTGCCTTATGAAGACTTTGGTGATAGATTTAAAAATGCCTTCAAAATTTGTTTAACCAGTGATAAGCAAGCTGCACTGGAATCATTGAATCTTGATAGAGATGTTGCAATTGACATAGAGAGTAAAACTGTGCAAAAAATTCAAGTCAGTTGTGGTATCTTCTGCGTAAAAAGAGGATTACAGCAAGCGAGTTTGGTTTAGTGACTAGAAGAGTGGGCAACTTTGGAAAGGCTTGTGGAGCAACTCAACCCTTTGAGACATGTGACAACAGCTCCTCCTAAGACGAGGAATTGAGTTAAAGCCAAAGGCAGCATCAATTTCTGCAAGTGAGGCTGGGAAAACAAGGTCAACCTTTTCCCTTCAGGCCTTATCATCAACCCAAAGTGCCCATGGTTAGGGTGTAGTCCTGACAGAAAAGTATTTGACATTACTGCTTCTGAAAATGGACTATTTGGATTATTGGAAGGCAAAGTTGTAAAAGAGGGTGAGATAAGTTTTGATAATGTGAGGCATTTGTCCAAGAATACCCAAAATGAGTACTCTCTTAAGACAACAAATGAGTACAGTGAAACCTGAGTTTTGCGACCACCCCAAATGTCACGCAAAAGTGGTCGTTAATGACAGGTGGTCGTTTAAGCAGGTTTGTGAGTGACGTCATCAACTTGAAATTTTTTCAGGTATCCATGATATATATATATATATNGAATATACTAAATGCGACTGTTTACGTGTGATGCAGAATTAACGATGCCCTTTTGTGGAACCATGATCTATTTACGGTAACTGATGCAGCCTTGCCACAATAGAGATCATAATACAATAACGTTTTCATCACGTCCACCATGTATCTCAAGTGTGTAAAAAAAAAAAATGCTTTTTCGACACTTTTCTGGACTTGGAAAATGTTTGTTCTTTGAAACGTGTTTAAAACACGCATAAACTGCCATAAAATAAGAGCTTATATGATAACTTTTACGAAAGTGGTCGGTCATCACAGGTGAAATTTAATGTTTGGGGCATAAAAATACGGTCGCTGGTCGCGTTAGGCAGGTGGTCGCTCATTACAGGTACTTTTTAACTAGATATTATCCGTGCCAGAAAAAGTGGTCGTTAATGGCAGGTGGTCGCAAAACATAGCTCACTGGCTTACAGTGGTGTGACTTTTTTAGTTATATTGATGACAGTACATTTGTATGTTCAAGAATTTATGACAAAGAGTTTTTTCAAAATGCAAAGGATAAAGTTAATGCCTTTTTCTTTAATTGCTATTTGCAACCTTGATGACAATATTATTGTAAAAATTAATTAAATTTTGAGTTTAATAATGACTGTCATCCTATGTCCAAGTTAAACCATAACAATTCTACAAATAATACAATGAAAGCCAGAGTGATTTTCTATCACATGTCGAAAAGTGTCACTTTTATTTGGTTTCACAGTGAAGAAGCTCAAGTGAGCTACTAAATTATAGCTTTTGGTTTTTGTATCTATTCAATACTACTCATCATCTGTAATTAGTGGACCTTGAAAATTTGTCTGTAAACATGCTATGGTATATGTTTGATTGACAGACCCAAGTGTATTTAAAGGTATATCTGAATCAAAAACATGAAACTCTTTCAGTCTTCGTATTGCTTGCTCTACGTGTATTCGTAACTTGGCAATAGTTTTCGTTTCTTTAACTTCATGAATAACAAATTGGCTTTTACTTTGCAAAAATGGAGGGAGATTTAAAGTTACATTTTTCACCAGTAGCAAGTCTTCAATTTCAAAACCTTTGTCTGCCATGACACTATCACCAGGCTCTAAAAGATCAAGTATTCCAGAACATCTGGTTATTTCCCTATCAGAAATAGCACCTGTGTATAGGTTAGAAACGAAAATAATGGCTCCTTTTGGAGATATTCTCACAAGTCCCGTTAATGTGGTATTACTCTTGTAAGCAGAGTAGAGCTGTGATTGTAAAAGTAAAGAAGATGGTGTTTGTATATACAACTCTGTACAATCAGTTATAACTCTTGTGTTGGGATAGAGTTTTAAAAATTCATCTGACATGGAATTATCTGCTCTCTGGTTGGCCAAACGGACTGGGAAGCTAACAAAAAATAAAGGTAGTTGATCCAAAAGGTGAGCTTTCGACTTACTGATGAAGGGTGTAAACTAAAGCGAAAAGCAAGGACCTGCTGAAATAATCCAAGTCTGATACGAACAAGACACAAAGCATTCATCAATCAAAAGCATTAACCGTAACGATGGCCTGCTATCTAGTACACCTGAAGCATAGCAGTATGTCATGTTTTCCGCAGATGGCTTGGCAAATTCATAGAAAGCAATTAGGTGCTCATAAGTAGGAAATCCAGTACAAAACGTAATGCTACTATTATTCCTTGTAAACCTTTATACCCCAAGTTTATATATTTTCAGAGTAACTTCTTGTTTTTCTATTTCATCTCTTCCTTTTTTGTAGCCAAGTTTGCCTTCTGAATTTCTAATTGTGCGCCGGTTTTGAATTGTGAATATTCATCTTTAGTGGATTTCAGCTCTAGCTCTAAGGCCTTCAACTTTTCTCTAAGAACATCTATTTCATCTCAGGTTTTTGGTTCTCTTCCGTGTCAACATCAACATTGTCATGTGTCTCAGTCGAAGACCTAGCAATAGTAACAGAATGACCTTTAAGCATGGAATATTCTTGAATGTTGTGATTCGTAGCCTTGCGAGGACTGACTTAATCTGCTACCAACTCTGAGAAGACCATGATCATCTAAGAATGGATTGAGAGGTTGCAAACGATCGCCATTTAGGGGAAGTTTTTTCTCAGTTAGCCTTTCTACGACTTGAGGAAAGTGTTTTCTCTGTGACTCTTTGAAAAGGTGGCATTCTGCCTTTTGAATTTCATTTGTGGTTATAGACAACTTCTTGTAGAGCTTTTCCCATTTGATAAACATGGAAGACTCTAGCAGTTACTGACTAGCTTAAAGTAACCAGAGAATCTCTTGACGTCGATGACAGGAGAGTCTGTTGAGACAACCTGCGCTTGGACATCTCTTTGTGTTTTGACTTGTAGCATTATTTCTTCGTATCCTGATGCAACAAGTGACTCTACAATAGGTCGTACGTTGGACTTCTTTTGTCATGTTGTCTCATCATTCTTTAGCCACGTGGGTCCATGCCACCACAGATCATGGTTGAGTACGTCACGAGGTAGGATACCACGTGACCCAGCATCTGCAGGGTTGTCTACTCCGCTGACGAGATACCATGATTTAGGTGGTATGAACTGCTGAATTTCTGAGATGCGATTAGCCTCAAACGTCTCAAAGCAGGGGCTGCTACCATTGATCGAGAATGGAGGTTCATAGGGGACGGAATGTTTGACTTGCACTTCTCTTCCATTGGGCGTAAGGGTAATGCGACTTGTAGATAATAGCACATTGGTATCTTGAGGTGCATCCAAATATTTTTTTAACTTGCTATCTGATTCACCTCCTATTTTTCGCGTGGGTACACTAAGACACGACAATCCCACTTGCCAAGTACCTTCTAATCGAATGGTTCGATCCAACTGATTTTTCCTTGAATGATTTGAATTTTTCAGGTAATACTTTTTACTGGCATCATTACTTGGTAATGTTAAATAAAATTCTTCCGGTGAATTATCATCAATTTCCATCCTGATTCTCCGCCTGATTTTCACTTTGCTGTTCAAATTGTTTTAAATGCTCTTTATATGCTTGCACTCTCAATCCCCAGATTTCCACTAATTCTTCATACGTTTTCGCTGGAGGAGGAATTTCATACGATTCATCTTCACGCACTATATACTACGGACTGTTTTGCCACTCTATCTCCTTCTGTTCTTTCCACAGCTGTTATTTCTGCAACCGTTCTTTCTCCTCCCATTCTTTCTCCATGGCGTGTGTCCATGCGTACGCCCGCAAGAAAAATGATATTTAGTCTGAAAGTTCAGCCTCTTTATCCAAATCGTGGCCGTCAAATATGTGTTCCACGTAATTATAAATGGACCTCATTATTTTGTTCCTATGTAATTGGAATGTTTCATCATTTTTAAATTGCCCATTTGGAGTTGTTTCCTTTCAATATCTAATAACCTTATCGAAATTATGAGGTTTCATATAAGCTCGAGCAGGACGCATCATTCTCCGTAAAGAATCCTCATCCTATCTCCAAAACGGCTGCTTAGGATTGTCGACAATATAATGTTGTCTATCGACCATATTCACCATCAAGGTATGACCGGTTTACGGAAATCAGTCCTCTTCATCTGAAAATTCACGCTTGTATACCAATTTTGTATATTCCACAACAGCTTTTGTAATGTCGTTCCTCTTTTCAACTATTTCGCGCTTTTCATAGTCCAAGAGTGGTCCTTCTGGGTTTTTGAGGTACAATTCTTCTCTGTTTATAATGAGTCAGTGTCAGATTCTCGAGAAATGTTTTCCAATATTGTGTTAATGTTAGTGAGGGAAAGTTTTGTTGGAATGTCGTTCATGTCTGTAAAAAAAAAAAGTACACTATTTTGATTGTTTAAAAACGAAAACCATCAGGAGAGGAAATTAGACTGATCCCAAGCAGTGCCTAATACCTTGGCTACAACGATTACTACCTTTACGGTCCTACTGTATGGTTCGCTTCTAGAGTTGCTACCCGATTTGTTACCTCAACCACAAAGTTCAATCCACAAAAATATCTTTCACATGTGGGACATCAAAAACGTATCGGTGACGACTCTATCACACCACGCATGCGTAATTTGTATGAGCATGCGCAAACACTTCATTGTCTTCCTGTCTCACAAATCAAAACGTATTGGTGACGTTTTAATCCCACAGTAAAACACATTACGCATGCGTAAAGTTTTTGAGCATGTGCAGACACTTTACTTAACCTGTCCCACATGGATGGGACTCACCATACGGTTTCATCTATATACATCAACCATCTTGTACTAATAATAACAACTCACTACGACGACTCAACTTCGGCTCAACTTCTTTGGCTCTTAGTCGGAACAAACTCGGCTCATGACCACACCATTTTTTAATTTATTATTTCACTCGGTCCCAAGCCACGCGGGATCCGGTTCGTAGACGTGGTATACTACTCTGCACAGTACGTATATTTTAATTTCATTACATCATCACGCTATCGAAAATGCAAAGAAAATGCTACTCGAGAAATGTGCTAACTACTAGTAATGTGCTCTGGGCAAAAATGTGGATTGCGGCATATTTCTTGAAGGGAATGGTAGAAGCTTGGAGCTCTGATTTCAGACTAAATGTACAATTTTCTCTGTGTGGTTGAAGGTATTTTCGGAGTGCGGTCATCGGATGCGGACCGCTGAGGAAGCAGCTCTTTGGTGAGTTCTACAATTCTCAAATTCAGGTTCAACATGCAAGCGTGACAATCGCAATTGACTAAGTGTCCATTCACAGGGTAAAGTGTTATTTCTCAACTTTCCCATAGGCATGTTGTGAAGTAGCTAACGTAAACTACTGAATTAGTTTAAGGTTACATTGCTGTTAAAAGTTCAGGAGAAATTCTCTTGTAGTTCCCCACCAGGGGGCATTTGATCACAGAGGGTTGCCTGAGGTGGGGCATTTAAAAATTTAGTCACAAGCAAAATTATAAATCTGTTCTTTTTTAAAAAAACAAAAGCCCGCTTTATTAAATATCAGAAGGATTAACCATGTGTAAAGAATGGAGATGTAAATTCTTTTTCTGAGATTTCACCCATTGGAAACTAGCTCATACCCCCCCTCCCCTTCTCCCAAAAATTCAGGTTGGTCTTTTATGTGCAAGAGAATCGAGGCGGGAAGTGAGTATGGTGTAGGTCATTGGTTAAGAGAAAAGGACATAGAACTTTTAATGAAAAGCTTTGAAAGTAAGTTCTTGACATTTTGATATCAAAAACGGATCATATTTTTGTTTGAAGGGATCACCCTTCTTTCCATGAGTTTGCTCTGCAAACATTGTCTTTGCGAGTTCATCTTTGTCTTTGTGAAGCCCGGTGTGCACTACTTTTGAAAATGTTTGAATTAATTTCAATATGCTTTACTCAATACCATACTTAAAAAGTTGACTGTTCATAAATAATGTTCAGTCAAAATCAATTTATGGCAAATTATTAACCCAACAGATCTGCTTTTCTGACGTTGGTTTTAGTTATTTGGGCCTGTTAACAGAAGGAAAAAGACATGACTCTGCAATGTTAAAGATGTCAGGACTGCTCTGTGTCAACTGGAGGAGTACTCCTTTAACCAAACAGGCCATCCATTATGCATTTATGGCGATGCATCCTACCCTTTAAGGGTGCACTTATAGTCCCCTATTAAGAAAGGCCACCTTACTGCAGATGAAGAGGCATTTAACTCCACAACGAGCAAAGTGAGGTCATCAGTGGAGTGGGTGTTTAATGACATAACATCCTATTTTGCCTTCCTAGACTTTAAGAAAAACTTTAAATACTACAGGGGGGGTGGGGTTAATTCGAGAGAACAAGCACTATGCGTTACGATGCTTGCCAAGCAAATACATCGCATGGAAACCTCACAAAACCATATATATTCACAAAGACCATTAAATTCTTGTTCATGTCAATTAAAAATATTCTGGGATATATGAAATCGCGTGATATCAAGGTCATTCTTATCATCGCAACTGAAGGTGGTGTATAGTTGAGTGTCATTAGCATATAGATGGAAGTCTGTGTTATGGTATCCTATTAGGTCACCTAGTGGGGCCGTGTACAAGAGATACAAGAACAAACCCAACACGGACCCTTGGGGCACGCCAAATCCGAGTGGACGAATTGAGGAAGTAAATCCATCGATCTGAACAAACTGGGAATGATCTGTAAGATAAGACTGAAGCCACAAAAGTGCTTTACCTTTTATACCAAACCTGGAATGCAGTCTGTGTAATAGGATCTTATGGTCGACAGTGTCGAAGGCTGCTGATAGGTCTAATAGCAAGAGAACAACACATTTTTTATCGATTTGATTTCAGAATATCATTTTCAACACGTAGAAGCGGTAGTGGGTCAGTAGATTGTCGGATTGCAGTCTCAGTGCATTGTAATGCCAATTGAAGTGGAATACTTGTGAACAGTGATTTCACATCAAATGACACTAGTTTGTAGTCGTCAGGTATCTGAACATTTTTGGTAGTGTTAATGAAGTCTTAAGTGGATTGTAGTTTGTGTGGATTTGTCAGTTAGCGGTGGTAGTATTGTCGTCAGGTACTTGGATAGTTGGTATGTGGGAGAGCCACAGAAAGAAACAATAGGTCGAATCAGGAAACCAGGTTTGTGTAGTTTTGGCAAACCGTAGAGTTTTGGTGGCTGTGGTACCGAGCACCTCAGTCGATAGTACCGTTGGGTGTCAAAGGCGTTCGTTTTCTTCAGTGTCAGAAGTTTACTGTTTAGTTTACCTACAAGTGCAGGAGTTGGGTCACGTTTGAGTTCTTCGTAGGTTTGTTTGTCGTTAACTAGTGTGTCCATTTTGTCGTGATAGTCAGTTTTTTCCATAACAACAGTAACTCGTCCTTTGTTGGCTGCTAGGATGACTAAGTTCTCGTTGTTTCTCATTTGTTTCAGTGCTTCTCAGGACTAGACTCACACAGACGATCAGACTACACCTTCACATGTTACCCCAGGGTTCAAGCCATTTACTGCATACTCTATGTAAGCTATCCCTAAATGATCTATTAGTTTCCAGGCCCTAAAATGTGACTATACAGCTCGCTGTAGGTGAGGCTGTATTTATCTGGACATATGTGTCCACTTAGTATGCTATGGGTTAAAATTGGACTAAGTCCAGTTGGTGCCATGTATTCAACATGTGGTCTATTGAGAAATGCTCTTACCTGTTTTTATGGCTCCAGCAAGAGTTCTTTCTTTGATTTGCAGCCACCCACTATCCAAGAATACTTTCAGTTTTAAAGAAGTATTAGTATTTAAAGTAGCCACCATAGAGTTATTTTTAAAAATTGGCAAGTTTTAGCCATCAAATTTTCATGAGTTTGCAACAGATTTTTATGAAAGTTTGCATATATTTACTACATTTGGCACGAGAAAACAAGCAGTGAACCATATCTTTTCTTTGAGTGAAAACTTTGGGATTGTGCGACATTGGTAAAAGGTCCATTAGAAACCTTAAAAAAATTCATTAAATTGTAAAACAGTCTGTGGTGACAACTTTGCTCGTTTACAGTAATTCCCATGGTTATGGCACTAGCTTGTGGAATTCTGAGAGTTGAAGATACATAATATGTAGATGTACATATGGATGTGTGCATGTATTAGTAGTGTTGAAATATTTATCGGCTTGAACTAATGAGCAGTTTTATACTCTGTATCATGATTAGAATTTATTTACAAAATTCATAACAAATGTGACCTTCCATGCGAAAACGTACACTAACGCTTTTCCGTTAAACGGGTAAAAATAAACGGATTGTAAACGGATAGTAAACGGCTAATTCAAGCGTTTAAACGGTCTCCACGACCGTTTAAACGGATAGCTAAAAGTATAAAACGGTTGAGCAAAGTCCAAATACGGGCAGCTCAAAAATGTTAAACGGGGCAACAAAATTTTAAACGGTTAGCTTAAACGGTTGAACAAAATCATTAAACGGTTGGCCTAAAACGTTAAACGGTTGAACAAAATTATTAAACGGATAGCTGAAACATTAAACGGTCGAACATAATCAGTTCTTTGAACGGGTATCTGTCAAAAACGTTTAACGGTTAATGAAAACTTATCGAGCAAACACAAAATTTTCAATCGCAAACGATTACGAACTGGGACTACTGCCATTCAATGTTCTGTACCTTCGTGTTGTTCTTCCAGCATTCGAGCCTATTCTTGAATCGCTGTAATCCAAAACGGCAGAGATGTGTTCAGCCACAGTTCCCGCAAGTTCAACTGTGTAACGCTTGCGATTCTGTGAAGTTTCGAAATGATATACCAACAGCGTGCTGTACATCACTGAAACACGAAAGCAAAATGGCCGTACGCGCGTTTGCAGTCGCAAATAATCCCGAATAAAAGTCGCTCACGGCCTGTCGCGATCGAAGTCGCACCATTGGCTTTTTAACCGTCGGCTTGTGACGGAGCTAACAGTTAGGCAGAAAATTTCGAAAAGAAAGGAGTTTGGTTTTTGTTAATGACTTAAATATTCGCATTTAAGAAAGCACGGCCGAAATGTTTTGTTTGGGAAAAAGAGCAATCTTTTTCGCAAACTGAATTGGTCGTTCACATTCAGAATTTCGTTACATCGTTATATTATTTTGCCCCACATAATTATATTCTAAAAATTCCTCTTCAAATAAAGCGGTTGAGATTGCAAATTTCTTATTTGCGAACCGCTTCTTATGGTTTAGCATGTAAACATGAAGAGTCAAGGACGTTGCATGTGTTATGCAAATTGTCAAGCAAGTTCCATTGATTGACAGGTTAAATGCCGCGCCTATCGTAAAGCTGGACTACTCAGCCTGTCAGTCACAAAATCCCAAGGGAGCGAACGGGTGCGGAGCTCTTTAGAACCTCTAATTTTATTGGCCCTGGGTATCACGAAGCTCGCGCCCAATTTTTCAGTGTTTTTTTTTTCCCATGCAAATAATAACAGGTAGAATTCAACACTTAAATTGACGCTGAGTTAAATTTCTTGTTTCAATGTCTTTTTTTCTGTTTGTTTAAGCCCCCTAAAAATATCCCTCAAAGGAAAACAAAAATTATCCAAGCCATTTCAGATTGGGATCAATTCAACTTTATTTACAGTTACATGATGAGCTTACAGAACACGAAATCCTAATAGTTGCAAGAAATCGCAAAATGCCTTACAATATTTTCTAGTCTTCTCTTTCGACAGCATACTTGGTAATATGTTTACTGAGGCGACACTTAGAATTTATTTTGCTCTTAATACATTTCCACACCCTTTCCTTTTCCACGGGAGAGTCAACAGGAAAACGACTAAAAACTAGAACCTTAAGTGAGTTAAGTCTTGTACTGTCTAGCGGCAGTTTGTTGTGGGTTCCCTCAGTGTTGCTGTTGCTCAGCTCCTCTCTACTAAAGAAAAATGGGAGAAGCTTAAGGGCGCATTTGTGCCGCTGATTTTCTTTCTGAATCACGTCCTGAACACCAATTACTTTACGGGGGGTCACACAAGAACGAATTACGTCGGCTATCTCCCGGACGCTGGATTGAATCGGCTCTTCGGGCCTGGTGGAAGGTGCGTTCACTGGCGTTGAGTTCACTGCCAATGGAGTTGGAGTTGGAGGAAGTGGAACGATTTCTTCTATTAATTCATCGTGGAGATGTGCGAGAGCGTCTGGGTCAATGGTTGGAAGATCTTCGTACTCTGGCCGAATAGGAACCCACTGAAAGAAAAATTAAAATTCACTCATCAGTGTCAGACCACTGCATAAAGGTGCAAATCCCTCAAATTTGATAACTCACATCCCAAATACCCTAGATATATTTAGTGTTTAGTCTAGGGTGCGCCCTTGCTGTGTTGACGCAAATTAATGAAGACGCATTTTCTGAGACAATGTGCTTTCGCAGACAAAATATGAGAAGGGTCGCAAAGTAACGATCACATTGTATCCAGGAATTTTGAAAGACATTCCCACTAAGAAGTCAGTCCTTTTTTCTGTCGTTGCGTTGTCTTTGTTAAATCTGGTTACTAGAACGCGTGGGACAAACGTTGAACTTCACATAAGACAATATTTTGAGTCAAACGTCGAGCTTAATATCAAAAGCTTAGCTCGTCTCATATGACCCGGGATTAAAAGACCTTCAACTTACCATTTTTTCTAAAGAATCCAGGCGGTGCTCAATCCGATCCAACCGAGCTGCCATGTTGTCCTCCATTGCAGACAAACTGTCCTCTAATCTCTCCATCATCTGTGAACATTATTACAGACATAAAACGTGTTAATACTACGAACTTGTGACTCTGAGAACCACCGAGGTTTCCAAGCAAACATTACCAGGTAATTAAGACGACCGTGACTACATACATCGATGCCTTAAAAATATATTGTAATTGCCGGGTGTTCTTCAGTTACTCCTTGTGATAGTTCAGTCAACGTTTCGTCGATAGATTCTCAATAATTTAATGCTCTTCATGCAGTATTAGGGGTATACAATGGTCTATCGGAAATTATGCGTCTCGGAAAATATTCACCGAGTCTCGAATTCTCGGCATTTGAAATTGGAGTCTCGGAATCTCGGGCTCGATATAATTTTCGAAGTCTCGAATTTTGATCATTTGGATCTCGGAGTCTCGTAAATTTTTCTCGTACATCTCAGCTTCCGTTGGAGATTTCAGTCACGGTTTAGTACTAACGGCCCGACATTTTCCAGCAATTGGAGTTTCGGGCTCGATTTGATAGAAACGCTGAAGTCTCGGTCTCGAATGTTTAAACAAGGGTCTCGCAGTCTCGCAAAGTCTTGAATTTACGATTCTATACTCCTAGTATTTTCCCGGCGTAGTCAATCGAACGTTCGGTAATCGAACTCAATCGAACAATCAAGAGTTCAATTGCCAATTTTTTGTGTGAGATCGATTTCGTTCGATTGCCGAACCCAATCGAACTCAATCCATGGATTGAGTTCGATTGGGTTCGATTGAAATTCAGTTCGATTGCGTTCGTGACTTCGATTGACTGCGGCGGGTATTTTGAAATACAGATTAACATAGATCATTATGCTTACCTTGCAGAAGCTTTCTTGTGCTTTATTTTGTGCTTCCACAGTAGAAGTGTTGACACGCTGGAGATCATGGACTTGGCTTTTGAGGGCAGCACATTCAGCATCCTTAGCGTCTAACTGCTGTTTCATGGCTTCTAAATCTTTGGTCGAAGTCTCAGCAAGTTTAGTCTTTTTTGCTGCTCGATTGGACGCCCACTCGACTTCTCTCTTACGCTGGTCAGCTAGAAATTCTGCATACGGATGACTTGCTTCACTTTCACCTTGTTTAGTCCTCTCCTGAGGATCAACAAATTTTATCAGACATGTTCATCATGGTGTGTAAGATAAGTGAACGCTTGTACGTTTGTCTCACGATGGTTAAAGTGAAAGACAAGTGCCTTGTGAAGTGTCGATTTTTCTTTACTTTTTTCTGGCTGCTCGCTTGGCTGCTGATCTTCAGCTGGCAAGTTGGCCTGTTCCACGGAGCTTGGGGTGGCTTCTACGTCGGACACATTTTTTGAAGACCATTCCATGTCTTTTTTGTTCAGAACCTCTTCGTCGTCTGAAATCAAGTAAACATTATACGTGAGTACGAGCAGATATATACGCAAAAATGGGGCTGTGGGACGAGTATTCCGAAATTAAGCCCAAATACGACTAAAGAGAATCTTTGTGTGAACCGTGGTGTTTCTCATGGAAATAACTATGTGTAGTTAAATGAAATAACACTCACCACTCAAAGCTAAAATCTTCGCTTGCACTTTCTTCCCTGCCCAGTTGACTGTGACCATGCTGCCCTCTTTCAATTCGACGTTTTTTTCTACAATCAACCGTATTGGGGCGATGCCAGTTTTCTTTTCTTTCCGAAAAAGGAACAACGCTTTCGAAGGGCGTCTACTGACTTCTCTGCATAGTTGCCTAAAAGCCATGTTTTATCGATTGTGCGCAACAAAAGAGACCTTTGAAACTGGATTGCTATTGGGAAGTGACGATAGATAAGATGTCAGCCTATTTATACACGGATCTTTAAGAGAGACGGTTCGAATTCCACAAGTTTTGATTGGATAAACAAATTTTAATCGTTAGAACTCTTAGAATTAAAAATATAGCGTTTTTAATTAATATCCATAGATATCAGTCTCAATTGTTGTTTTTCTTTTGTAGCTTGCGCGCGCTGTTCTTTTTGTCGTGCCGCGCGCTTTTGAGGGAATCAAGAGAAAAAGTTGGTTAAGTAGCTTTTAATTCAGTTACTCTTTACTACTGAATTCCATTTACAAAAAAAAGCCGTTTTCATAGTTCCTTTGATTTACTGCGAAGCGCGCAACCAGTTTAAATTACTTAAATTTAGCGCGCGTGATGCAACAAATAAGACAATGGCATTCTTTCGAGTTGTTGTTCTTTTTGTCCTGCCGCGCGCTTTTGAGGGAATCAAGTGAAAAAGTTGCTTTGGTAACTTTTAATTCAGTTACTCTTAACTACTGAATTTCATTTTCAAAAAAGCCGTTTTCATAGTTACTTTGATTTAGCGCGAAGCGCCGAACTAATTTAAGTTACTTCAATTTAGCGCGCGTGACGCGACGAATAAGACAATGGCATTCTTTCGAGTTTTTCTTTGTCGTGCCATGCGCTTTTGAAGGAATCATAAGAAAAAGTTGCTTTGGTAGTGTTTTATTCAGTTATTCTTTACTACTGAAGGTTTTCGTTTTTATAACGGCGTACCTGTTTGTTAAGTTGCTTTGATTTAGCGTGCGCGGCGCGATAAAAAAGCAGTTTTCCCAAATGCTTCCATGCAACGCTTTTTAAAATAATGATGCCTGCTGTTATTTTTGTGGTGCCACCCGCTTTGGAATAATGCTAAACAATGTTTTGCAAAATGTGTTGCCAGTTCTAATTTTTTTACAACTTTAAAAAACGACGTTTACTCAAAGCCATTATTTATCTAACTTGATGTAGAAATTGAAATAAATTACAATTATCAGTCTATGGCGCTGGGGCCACAAGATCTTCCGTTCCGTGTTTACAAAATTGCCTTATTTCTCTGTACAAATAATTTTTTCTGTCATTGCTTAAGCCTTCTGGGTTTATCTTGGCAGGAAGACTGGGTGCTGGGACAATTGTTGGATCTTTCAGCAACATGAATGACAGTTCAGCAGTAGATCTGTTTTCTTTGCAGTAGATTCTTCCAGGTTCATCCTTTGAGAAGCGAAAATGATGGTACTTCTTAATGTTTGGAAGTTTATTGAAGTAACCACCAAGAAACGATGCCCAGTCATAGACTGGCACAATGACTGTGTTGTCATGAGTTCCCACTAACTGGGCTTTGTTTACTCCGGTGGAATTGGACTCAACCATTGCAGCAAGCTCATAAATTGAAGAAATAAAGTTCACCTTGTAAGCCTTCTTAATGATACCAAAGCCGCGATCAGGTGCAAATTTGGTGTGTCCAGCAATAAGGAAAGAGTACGTAATGCGCTGGTGAAGTTCATTTATAACTCTCCAAGCCAAGTACCACAAAAAGAAGTTATTTTTGTTCTGCCCAGAACAATTGTCCGCATGTAGATGGACGTTAGTTTCTCCGAGACCGTGGTTTGCGAAATAATGATGAACGTAGCTTATTGTTGAATTTGCTCCTTTTCCAACGCTGACTGCCTCGTCAATCAGGTAATTGACTTGCCTCGGAATGGCTTCGCATATTACACCGAAAATTCCACATTTACGGGGCGTTTTGAAATAAATGGGGCCGGGCTGCATTGGGTTACTTGGTATATGTATCTGTTGTGCATAATCAAAAGAGTAATGCATTGTTCCTGTGAATGAGCACGAAGGATGTGTTTCACTTAAATCAATAGTGCCCTCTGCGGCTTCAAAATTNTTAAACGGATAAGCTAACCAATTAAACGTTTTGAGGAAACGTTTAAACGGATAGGCTAACCGTTTAAACGTTTTGTCAAAAGCGTTAAACGGATGGAATTTTTTTTAAACGGATAAGCTAATCGTTTAAACGTTTTGACCGAAACGTTAAATGGATACTCGATTTTAGAAAACGGATGAGATAAGCGTTTAAACGTTTTGTATGATCCGTTTAAATGGATGTTAAACGGATACTAAACGGTTATTTCCGTTAAACGGTAAAGCATTAGTGTACGTTTTCCCATGGAAGGTCACAAATAAAAGTTTAAAAACTCAGTAAGAGGTATATCATGGTCTTAAAATCGTTGTGGAAAAACGTGTACCATGTCAAATTTCATTAAATAACACGCACCGCTTATCATAAAAATCTTGAAAAAAATAACTTTCAGGCAATTTGAGTTTTTAGGGGTTCTTGATATGTTTTAAAAGTTCATTCATAGTGTTCAACATAGCCATATTCAAGGCTTCTTGCTGTTGTTAATATATCTGTTGCTGATGAAGTAAGATTATCTGGAATTGTTGCTGTTGCTGCATTTCAGCAACTCTCAGCTCCAACTCTCAGCTCCAACTCTCTGTTGCAAAGCTGCTGATGCTCTTCGTGCTCATTTTTTTTATTGCAATGGAGGCTTCCATCATTGAAACCAAATTGGTGTGACTTGATTTCTTCTTAATCGGCAATACTCCATCATCAGAATTATTGTCACTTTAACCTGCAACGCCAGCTCTCTTTGTCTTCTTTGTACTGCTCAGCCTTTTAACAGCTTTGCTCCTTATATCCTCTGCAGTCTCCTTTTCTGTTGCTTCTTTTTCCTGTGATTTTCCCTCCCACTCTAACATTCGCTCGTCTTTCTCTGTTAGAGCTTGATATGCTTAATCAAACTCTACCTCAACCCCACTTGCCTTCTTTTCTTCTTTCTCTCTAGTATGGTACTCCTCCAATAAATAATTAAACCGATTGCAAACAGATCTTTGAGTAGCTTTCACAAGACCACGTTGAACCAGATTATCAGCAATATTGGTTCATGCTGCTCCCCACTTAGTTGACCCAACAGGAAATTTGTATGGCTCCTCATGGATGACCTCTCAAAGTAATTTCAAGTCATCTTCTTTTTTCCAGATGAAAATCTCTCGCTTTAAGCGATTAGTAGACATATCTGGACGAACAAAGAAAACTTGTAAAACTTTATTCACATTTGTTACAGGTCAACAACTTATCATAAGAAAGCTATCTACAAATGAAAGCCCTGGCTGGGGTCATGGTGTCTCGTCTTTAGGTAAGATCCTACTCTAATAGTGCTTGACTAAAACATTGCTCATATCTGGTAATTAATATCATCCCTTTAAATGAGACCTTTCCTTATTAAAAATAAACAAATGAAATTCTGTAAAATTCCTGGGGCACTTATTCAAGCATAACAATAAACATTTTGGTTCAGAAATAAAAAAAGGAGCTTGTCAGTGCTTGGAAAGCTAAGTTGATTATCTAGCTTTTATTCTCAACTTCTGAACAGCAATGTGTTCCATGGTCTATCTTATGCATGTTATTTGCCAACTTTCAACCTAATCCTAACATCATAAATATTATAGAGATACAATAGTGTAAGCTTAATTTTCCAGGTTTGGATGGCTTCAAGTTTGAAATTTGAAAGATGATTTTGAAAAAGATTGACAATGTTCCTGTCACGATTCTGTGAACTCAAAAGGGTTGTTTATTGTGCGAACTCGACTGCCGCCACGTGTGTTGTCGTTGTCTCCTGAGTGTTCTGAATATATAATGTTCATAGGCCCAGTGGCGTGACCGTGTAACGCAATATCACGACAGTTCCTTTGATATAACCTGAGGTTGAGCCTATATTCCCTCTACTTTAAGAAATTCTTGGCAAAAACAAAAAAACTTGGTGACTAACTTGAGTTGAATAAAGACAACATCTCTTTTGGAGAAAGTAAATACTCAAGAATTGAGCTACTCACAAAGCCTAAATCGAAAGAACAAACTGGGATTATCTTTATCTTTCCTCCAACTTTAATGTACTATGCTTGTAATCGGTAAATCGGAAATTAGACTCTTAAGATGAAGTGACAAAAATACAAACGAAACGTGAAGCTAATTGTGCTAAGGTTTTGGCTAAGTTTTGGCTTGGAGCCAAAAATAGGTACTCAGTGCGTACATGGTTGGACAGGTAATGTCTGATGAAGGAGTTTTGAAGTGATCCTTCATCATTTTATATCAAATATGAAGAATGGATATGTAAGTATGAGATCAACTACTAAAATTAATTTATCGTAAGACAGTGAGGCTTTAAAAAAAAAGGCAAGAAAGAATTTTTTAAGTTTGATAGCTTAGAGTTTTTCAAGAGTGGTTTCATGAGCACTTGTTGTGTTTTGAGTATTTTCAATTTATTTATATTTTGGTCAAGGATGTATGAAAGCATTGGCTAAAGAACAGTTTCTTAATACCTGTTTTACGTTTCTTTAACAGCATTCTTGTACGAATTATACATGCATCAACACAACGATTTGAACAAATCTAATGAAAAGCATCAGTTAATCAGATGGCTTGGAATAGTTCTTGATTTGCCAGAGGATGTCTGAAGGCACTGAGGAATAAACAGTGTCTTGATACCTGTGTGTCTTCGAGAACATTCTTGTATGAAGTTATACATTTATGAACAGAACAATGTAATCAAAGCTAGTAAAAGTCATCAGTTAATCAGATGTGGTTTAGAATATTTCTTGATTTACAGAAGGATGTCTGGAAGTATTGAGCAATGAACAGGTTTTGGATACCTCTGTTTGTTCAAGAACAATTATGAAGTTATACGTCTATGAACACAACAATGTAAGAAAAATGTAACAAATCATATCAGTTAATCAGATGGCTTGGAATATTTCTTCATCTACTGAAGGATGTGTTGAACAGCAAATAGTTTTTTGATACCTGTTTCTTCGAGAACATTGTACATGGAATGGCACAATTCAATTCAATTGACTCTGATTTGTGGTGGAAATCAGAGTCCTCACTACATAAACAACGAAGTCTTAGAAGGTGAGAAAAAGGAATGGAATTCTTAATGTGAGATAGATGCGAAGACGAATACAACAAGTAATTATGCGAGTCTGTAGGTTTGTAATACACACTAGTGCATAAAATGTTGCCTTCAATTGAAACTTTGATGTCTAAAAAGGATAAAGAATTGTCAGAAACTTCCCAGGTATATTTCAGAGCAGGGTGAAAAGAATTGACTGGGGTTGTGAATTGAGTCAGCTCCTCTCTGGTAGAGGAGGTGGCGCCAATACAGTTGTCGATATAGCGACGACTATAGAGTTCAGGTTTGGAGCCGTTGTATTGGCTGAAAAATTTGTGTTCGACAAAACCTACAAAAGGATTGGCATAGCTAGGTCCCATTTTGGTACCCATGGCTACACCATTGGTTTGTTTGAAAAAGTTGTCCCCAAATGAAAAACAATTGAGTGTGAGCGCTAGTTCGGCTAAGCGTAGTAGTGTTTCAGATTCAGGTTCCTTAACAGTACGTTGATCAAAAAAATGGTTAAGGGCCAGAAGACCTTCGCCATTAGGAATGACAGTGTAAAGAGACGTAATATCCATGGTGAAAAGAAGTCTGTTTTGGCCAAGGAAATTAAAGTCGAAGAAGAATTTGAAGAGTGTGTTGGCTGTCTTTAATATATGATGGTAAAGTTTTGACGATGGGAGCCATAATTTTGTCTAGATAGCTGGAGATAAGTTCAGTAGGGTAACTGCAAGCCGAGACAATAGGCTGACCCGGGTTGTTAGGTTTGTGAATTTTAGGTAAAAAGTAAATACAAGAAGTTCTAGGAGTGGTTATGATGAGATTTTTTTGCTGTGGCCAGCAATTCCTGTTTAGTTATGAGTTCGTTGATCGTATTCTTGACGGTGTTTTGATTGTTGGCAGTGAGGTCTTTGTCGACCTTTGATAAAAAGGTGTCAGAAAGTTGCTGCAAAGCTTCTTTTTGGTAGAGGTCGGTGCACCAAACAACGACTGAGCTGCCCTTATCGGCCGTTTTGATAACTATGTCTGCGTTTTCTAAGGCTTTTTAGAGCCAACCACTCTTCAGAGGAGAGATTGGAAAATTTGGTAATATGATTGAAATTAAGTTTGTTGATATCGTGGTGACATGTTTTGTTAAAAAAAGTCTGATGATGCGAACTGGCCTTCCGGAGGAGTCCATTTAGACTTTCGAGTCTGAAGTGTTTCGAAAGTGTCTTTGTTCGAGGTGTTAGAATCATCCTCTTTGTCGTGAAAAAAGGCTTTTAATTGAACGCAGTGAAGGAATTTTTCTACGTCTTGTTCTCACTTGTTCATGTCTGATGGTGTAGAATGAGTAGTTTAGAATGTAGAATTTACAATGCTGTAGAATGAGCAGTATAGTTCATAGAAATGAACAATGCTGAAATGAACAGCGGTATTTGAGTCTTTTGTAGGTTAGCAGACCAAAACATTTTAAGAAGAGTTGCATTTTAATAAAGATCTTGTCTAGAAAGCTAAGTTTTGTAAAAAAATCTAACCAATTGTCATGATAAGGCTTTACGACGTTCGGTTGTCCACAAACAACTTGTTCATGTCTGAAGCTGTTATGGTAATTGGCGATGTTTATCTTGCTTTGTTAGCGTTGAGATCCTTATAAACTTTTTCGGAAATAAAAATAATTGCTTTTTACTCAAGCTCTTGTCTTGAAAGCCAAGTTTTTTGAAGAAAACCTGATCGATTGACATGACGAGTCTTTACGGTGTTGTTAATTTGTCACAATAAATAACTAGTCCACATCTGAAGCTGCTATAGTAATTAGCGATGTTTATCAAGCTTTATTCGCGTTGAGATCCTTATAAACTTCGTTGGAAGAACAAGAATGTTTTTTTTTAAAGATCGTTTACTTTTCTACATGTTTAACTTCTAATAAGTTGTA